GATTAGTTAGCAGTTGAAATAAAGTAAGCGTTGTTTTATTGTGCTGAAATGCAGAACTTGTGTTTAGCGTTGTTTTATATTCAATCGGGCTTATATTATTTTAAACGTCTGGTTGTTTAACGCAGTTAAACAACGGGCAAACTACATGAAAAGCACAATAGTAGTAGTAGTACTAACTTCGTCGTACTCCGAGTACTTCAAATATGTCGCAATAATATTTAGCGCGTTATTTCAGATGGTCCGTAACAATGACGTCCTGAGAACACCTCCCTCGAAACCAAGGCACGACCTCTCTCTGCTCACGATTCAACCGTCACGTCTCACGTCTATTATCCACGGTAGATGCATCGACTTCTCCGCGCACTTGAGCAAGTGTCGTCCCCGGACTCTTGAAAATACCATCTCCAAGAGTTGGCAGATGAGCAACCCGCCTTTGACGCTGTTGAAATCAGCACCCATGGCGTCCACGCCGTTGCGAGCGTTATCACTAGCCTCGTGGTCGTAAGTTGTCGTCCGAGCGGCGTTCTTTGATTGGTGACGAGTATTCAGATTTTCTGTCTAGGCATCGATCACTGCCCCCAATGCTCTCGATAGCTCGGAAGTCGTCGCCACTGCCGTGCTTGGTGAACATAGTTACGACTACGACCAAGATGACCATGCCCTTGCCCGCACACAAGTCGTCGTCGACGACAGGGATGGGCTTGTGCCGTCGTGGCGAATGTGAGCAGGACCTTTTCACGACATTCCCCATTCGACCTTGGTGCACCGCCATAGTTGTTACGTTAAGATTAAAGTATTGGATTAAATGCCTGGTTTAAACTAAAAACCTAAAGTTCAAAAATAAGTGGATTAAAGGTTAAGTAAAGTTGTCATTGAAGCCGACATGAGCCAGGATGTCTACATGCTTCGCTGCAATTAACAGTAAGTTCTTTACAGGAGGCTGCGGGAAATGATAAACTTTACGATCCTCAAACGAAATGGCAGTGCATACATACTGTAGTTCATCATCACGCTAGAATC